AACAAACATTATAAAAGTATTATAAAATAAGTAAAACCCTACTACTCTGGTGTTGTTTATAATCAGTACTAAACTATAAATTTCTTCATATTGATGGATAATTTGTTTTATTGATGCTTTGAAACGTAGCATACAAACCCTGCCTTTCAACCACAGAAGGCAATAATCCTTAGCTATAAAAGTTGAAAAGGACTTTGTCATTTGTATTAAGGTGTAACTCTCTTATCTGTTAGCAGTAGCAGCTAACACGTCTCCTCAGGGTGGAAACTTGTACGCAAGTTATGTCCTATATGACTCTTGATGTCATTTCTTCCTTTAAAGACTGAATACTAACCAACAATAGTTTTGTTTGCTAAAAGAGCTGTTTCATGTCTTGGTCAGACATCTTTGTCTCAGTGCGCCATAAACATGGAATAAAACTGTCCAATTCATAGGGCGCGCCGCGTGCTGACCCTGACATCCTGCACAGTTTTCATTGATTATGTGTGTGTGTGTGTGTGTGTGTGTGTGTGTGTGTGTCTGTGTGTGTGTGTGTGTGTGTACTTCTTTTGACTACAGTGAGGACCAATTGTGCCATAGTTACTATCAAAGTGAGGTCTTTGATGTAGGAGGACCGCTTCAGTGTCCTCACTTTGTTTGCAGTTCTACTGTACTTTACTAGTTAGGTTTAGAGGTATGGTGTGAATTAAGTTCTGGTTCAGTTAGTGTTAACTATAGACCAGTAATGGTTAGTTTTTGGGAAAATGTCTGGGTTAGGCATAAAAACAGTTGAAAAAATGAATGGAAGTCAATACAAAGTCCTCAGTTTGATGCAAATACAAGGATGTGTGTGTCTGAGTGTTTTTCCTACATCGTTGGGACAATTTTCCTGAAAAAGCAGCATCGTGGGGACCTATGCCCATCGGGTCCAAATGCAAACTAGATACCGCATAGCGTTAACATAATGACCCCCGCAGGCAGAAATGCACCAGAACTCAGAAGTCTTTATTCCTAATAAATGTCATGCTACTAG